GAGGCTGTTACAGCACTCTACAATATCAGTATCTATGGACAGGAGGGAGCTTGAAAGTTCCAACAATACCTTGACTAACAGCTAATTATTGAGTAGCTTTTAGTGCATCATTATCAGACTGCACGTGGTCCAGAGAGCTGAACATATGACACAGCTCAATCTCAAGAGCCACAGTAGTGTGGCCAGAACCAACTGATTAGACTGGAACAGCAACAGGTTAACCTGAAAAAGGGTCCTTAGTGGTGAGGCATCAGTGATAGCCTTGAGACGGGGCCAAAGGTCTAGGGTAGTCTGTCTGCCAGGAACAGTCAGAGACAATGCCCTCTGTGATGTGATATGAGACACACAGGCCAACTTTTAGCAAGTATCACAAGTCTGGCATGCAGTGGCAACTTCTCCATCAGAAATAAAGGGTCCTTTACTTTCTACTCAGTCTGTGAGAGTGAATGTGTCACCATCTTCAGAATTTGTTGAATATAGGTGGCAGTGATGGAAGTCTAGGCAGTGTCGGCTTGATACACTTGATTCCCATTCGTACCATTGGAGAACAGGCCATTACCATGAACATCTGAATCAGTGATCCAGATAGTTTAATCAGCAGCTGCTATTTGTTTCCACAGTTGTGGCCCCAAAGATGGGTATCTTTAATCTGCCAAGATTTCCAAGTCTTCCAAAGAGCTAGGCCATGGCAATAGCCCAAGAATCAATAAAAATACAGAAAGATTCATTGTGGAGAATGTTGTCCAGATTGATGAAGACCGCCTTGAGCTCTGCACTCTGAGCCAAAGCAGCCATGTCCACTTCTGGGTTTGCAGAGTTGGTGCCTAGGCTGAGCATCTGTAGCAGCCCAGTGAACACCTTCAGCTTAGCCAGACTGTCAGTGAACCAAAGACTCCATTGATCTAATGGCTTTCTTTAGGCAACAGAGTAGGGAAGCTACCACTTTTTCGTGTAAAGCCAAGAGGCCAACTGCTCTCTTGAGTATAACTATTTTTGTTTGACAAATGAGACTTGTTGGGCACATCTTAACTTGCTGATCATGAAGTTTTAGTTAACACACTCCCAAATGGCAGAGAGCCTCAAAGCTGCCATGAATCTTATCTCAATTTCAACAAGAGCCCATTAGCAAGCTAATCCTTTCTTGTCAAAGGGAGTGTACCTTGTAGCCATATCAAGCAGTTGACAAGTCCAAAACCCAAGGAATACCTTTGGGTAGAGGCAGCTTCCCTTTGCCAGAAGCTCAAATCTGCAAAGGCATCAGTCTCAGAGACTTGTAGATGAAAGAGGTCATTAGGGTTTTGGTAGAGAATGTGCCACAGCTTGATGGACAACCAGTGCAACCTGCTGGTTGGAGCCCCACTTAAAAGATGCTGTTTTGCAGATTAGCTGATCTAATAAACAAGTTAGTAGAAGTGAGGCACATACTGTCTCTGGTACCTAAATAGTCCAATGAGATGCTGGGTCTCATTTTTGATGGGAAGAGGGAGGAGGTGAAGAAACAGTAGTTTTTTTCTTTTACTACTAGAGGGGATTGAACATTGTGAATCTGCATGTCTAGTCCCCAAAAACTTTACTTGGTGAGCAGACCTCTGAATTTTGTTGGGATTTATCAGCAACCCCTGCTGGTAGAGATGTCTTAATATTACATTCAGGGCCTTTGCAACTGAGACTTCTGGCTTGCCAGTCATAAGGATATTTTCAGTATAATGTGAATTTTAGATACAAGATAGAGACACTTGTGATAAATCTTGACCCAGCTACTAGTGGCTAATATCAGGGAAGTTTGTTCCAGTAGCTCTTCTGTGTGTGTGGTTCTTCCCAATCGGGATGATCCATCTCTGGTGCTTACGGGATGGAGAAGTGTAAATGCACATACCGTATCAACTTCTGCTGTACATTCAGATGTCAAACAGCAGTATGTAGAATCAGCACCACCCACAGGGTCAGGACAGCCTCCCTTTCCTCCTGTGAACCTTGCTTAGACCCCATCAGTGGAATGCAAGTGCCTCTCTCCGTGGAACCAGGTGGGATTGTGAGTTGGACACCTGAATATAACAGAACTGTGAAAGTTTGAGTCCCTCACATTCTTGAGTTTTCCTCAACATACTTCAATGAGTATATGGTGTCTTCACTGTATACCCTTGGGAACAGGGAGACTTCGGCTTCACCCCTAATTATCTTTCTCCAAGCAGATGAAGTCAAGTTTAGAAAGGAAGGGAAGGTAGAAGGGGAGGTGGTGTGGAGGAAGAAAATGACTCTGCCAGTGAGCAAGTTACGTTTACTTTCAGTGTCAAGCAGCGCAGGAGCTGTATGTGGCTCAACTAAGTAAACCTCTGATATTTTCAGCCCACCCAGAGCCTTCTGTCAGGCAGCAGGGTTATCATTGCTGACACCATCAATGTCAGTTTTGGGGACCCTTTGATTTAACAGCCCCATTCACATTGCTTTCTAGTTGGGGCCATGTGGTTTATGCCTTTTGGCTGACTCAGACTTGACTTCCACAGTGGTGGCTTTTTTTTTTTTTAAAGAGTGTACCTTAATCCTGGACATTCGCTGCCCCATTGTCAAGATAACATCTATGCTTTTCCTGGTGCAACATAGAAGGCTTTCCAGCAGGTCTGACCACAAGAATTTATATTGCTTTGGATCCTTTTCTCATTCCTTAGTGACTCATCTTCATCTGCATTATAAACCCAGGAAGTTGGACAGGAAGACTCCTAGTAATGCCTCATCATAAGAATTTGTCTCAGAGAAATCTCTCCAAGAGCACCCAAAGCACCTTTATATGGCAGCCAGGACCCACTGCAGAAAAACTCCGAAACCTTTGGCAGTCATCTCCAAATGGATCTAAGGTGGACATAACAGACCGCAGGAGGGGCCGAGCTCTGAGATGGCCCAAGTGTTGCCATTATTCCTTGCTCAACAAGCATTATGTTGCCCCTTCATTTCCCATGTGGACCAGCCAAAGTTCTAATGACTCAGCTGGTTTCTACTAGTAGCAGTTGCAAGTTTCCCTCCTGTCACATTTGGTTTAGGTGCATTTGACAGTAACTTGTCTATAAAGCGGGTGGAACCTTCTGTCTCCACCTGTCAGACTGCTCTTGAATCTTCGCCTTAGTTGTTAACAATGGGGCAGACTTCAGGCTGACCACCAGATGGCAAGGAAATCCTCCCCTTTTCCCCGCCTCTCCACCCCTGGACAGTTTGCAACAACTGAAACACCATTCCAACAGCTGTCCTTAAACTTACTACCCAGTACTCATCCTGCAACCTCATTAATAAATGTTTTAGTTTCCTGGGGCTACCATAACAAAATACCACAAACTGGGTTTCTTAAAACAACAGAAATTTATTGTCTCACAGGTCTGGAGGCTAGAAATCCTAAATTAAGGTAGGGCCTTGTTCCCTCAAAATCCTCTACGGGAGGATCCTTCCTTGTCTCTCTCACTTCTAGAAGCCCCAGGTATCCTTAGCTTGTGGCATCATAACTCCAATCTCTTATATAGACATAGTTAGAGTAGGGCCTCATCTTAACTTGATTATATCTGCAGACATTTCTAAATAACGTCATATTCATGGGGGTCAGGACTTCATATCTTTTGGGGACACACAGTTCAATTCATAACAATAGGCAATTAAATAGAGGACCATTTATTGCCTTACAATTTGGTAAACCTGTTTGCTTCCAGCTCCAATGGGCTTCTTCAAATTCCGTTTGCTTTGTGAGGTCTTAACCCTTCCTGTTATAGAAAGCCTGTCTTTTTCAGCATCCTGTTCTTGGTGCCAAAATCTGGGGGGTCTGAGATTCTACCCTACTTTGCAAGCCAGCAGATTATCCTACCACCGTTTCCTGGATGCTGATAGATGATACAGGGTTGGTAGGTCAGAAAGAAAGGACTTTATTACTCTCTGCACAGCAGACAGCATGAGTTTTCTTTGTGCTGCTTTTCCCTTCCGCAGGTCCCACAGGCCCATGTGAAGGTTGTGCATATGGTTGGTTTTCATCACAGCTGAAGATTTCCAGCTTAGGAAGACGTCTTTTATAATGGGCTGCGAGCAAACCTGCCTTTCTATCACACAGGGGGACGTTATTATATTGGACAGTAAGCAGAGCTGTCTGTCCTCTTTGGAGGCAGCAACTCTGTCTTCCGAGGCTGTTGGCTTTTCTGCAGACATCCTTGGAAAGATAGTCCAGAACCAAAGCTTGTCAGTTCCCAAGATGTACAGAAACACAAGGAACTTGTGGAGAATTGTCTCCCAACAGTTGTTTTAAGAGATTGAGTTTAGTGAATATGTAAGAATTCTTCATGTATTCTCTATAGAAGACCTCTGGCAGATATATGTTTGCAAATATTTTCTCCTGATGTCTGGCTTGCCTTTCTGTTAACTGTGTATTTCAAAGGACAAAGTTTTTAATTTTGATGAAATCCATTTTATCAGTTTTTGTTACTAAAGTTTCTGCTTTCTATCTGCTACTTATACTTAAATACTTGACTATAAATGTCTTTCAGTATTTCAAACCTAGTCCAGTGTTACAAAGATTTTATCCTATTTTCTTCTTACATTTTTAGTAGTTTTAGTTCTTACATTTAAGTGTGTGATCCATTTTTAATTTTTTTGTGTATGATATGAGGGTAAGGGTCAAGATTTATTTTTCCCATATGGATACTAGTTCCAACACCACTGTTTCATCTTTTCTGCATTAAATTACCTTGGAACCTTTTTTCAAAAGTCAGTTGACTGTATAAGTGTGGATCTGTTTCTGGACTTTTTCTGTTCCATTAATCTCCATGTTTTATCCTTTCACTGTATCATATTGTCTTAATTTACTGTAGCCTTACAGTAAGTCTTGAAATTAGGTAGTATAAGTCTTCCAATATTGTGTTCTGCATTTCTATATAAATTTTATTATCAGCTTATCAGTTTCTTCCAAAAAGCCTGGTAGGATTTTGATTGATCTGACCGATTTTTTTTTTTAACCCATACCTTGTATACTTCAGGAACAAAGAAAACTCAGCTCCACTAGAGGAAAATACGACAGGAAAAAGTGAAGCAAAAAAAAGAAAAATTGCAGAAACTTCAAATGTTATCACTGAGTCATTGCCATCTGCAGAATCTGAACCCGTTGAAATTGAGGTGGAGATTGCCGAAGGCACAATCGAAGTGGAAGACGAGAGCATCGAAACATTAGAGGAAGTGGCTTCCACAAAGCAGTCCATCAAGTACATTCAGAGCACAGGTTCCTCTGATGATTCTGCTCTGGCACTGTTGGCAGATATTACCAGCAAGTACCGTCAAGGTGATAGAAAAGGGCAGATTAAAGAAGATGATGGCTGTGCATCTGACCCCACAAGCAAACAGGTAGAAGGTATTGAAATTGTGGAACTTCAGCTGTCACATGTGAAGGACTTGTTCCATTGTGAGAAATGTAACCGTTCATTTAAATTGTTTTACCATTTTAAGGAACACATGAAATCACACTCCACTGAGAGTTTCAAGTGTGAAATATGCAATAAAAGGTATCTTCGGGAAAGCGCATGGAAACAGCACCTCAGTTGTTACCACCTTGAAGAAGGTGGAGTCAGTAAGAAGCAAAGAACTGGGAAAAAAATTCACATATGTCAGTACTGTGAGAAACAGTTTGACCACTTTGGACATTTTAAAGAACATCTTCGAAAACATACAGGTAATTAGCAGATACTTTATGTTAAAAGTATGGTTTTTCCATATTCACTTGCAGCTGTGTCTAAATCCTTTTTTTTTTTCCAGTAGTACCACAGAAATTATCCCTTGTGTTTTCTAACATGCAGGCTGAGTATAGTGTTTTTAAAGTATTCGTTTGTTGAAATATTGATGCTTTATAAGGAAAAAATCAGTATTTGAAAGTAATTATCATTCTCATATCTTGTCAGTTTGTATATTTTTAAAAGAAATACATAAAACATAGTTTGATTATTAGGAGTCATAAATTATAAAATTCTAATTAGAGTAAGACTTCACTGTTACTGCTTTTACTTTTCCTGTCTTATATTAACACATTACATAGATGAGCACATTTACAGACAATCCTGGACATGTTTATACCTTTGCGTATATTTGGTCATCTGTTCTGACTCGGCAGATAGGTAAGGGCAGGCGTGTCAGGAAAGGTGAGCAGCCTAGGAGCTGAGAAGGGTAAGGTCTCTGTACTGTCCTCCTGCTAGGAGCCATCCCAGGCATGAGGCAGGTGTCTCAGGGAGTCCGCCTTAGAGCCTCTGGTCCTTACAGTTCTGCATCTATCCCCTTGCCTGTTTTTTTTTTTTCCTTGTCAGATTCCCTGTCCTTGTTCCCATTCCCCAAGCTTTCTTTGCTAGGTCCCCTGTGCCAGACACAGGAGCTACTGCCACCAGTGACTTGAATCTTAGGGAGTCCCTAAACCCACTATAACAAAGGTGTGGGAAGAGCAGTGTTACAGAGACTTCTGGATGCTTGTTCCCAAGTTCTTAGTATGTTAGATAGTTAAGGCAGTTTAGACTATCAATACAGTGAATACAATATAGATATCCCATTGGAGAACTTTGGATGAAATTTTTTCATAGATGCTTCACTGTCCAGAGTTGCTTGCTACACACTACTTGAAACTGAGGAATGATATTCAAATAGTGTGGTATCCCTTACTATTCAGACTGTTGGTATCAGTACCCAGGAACTGGATAAATATGTGAATAGCAAGGGAATCTCGTAATTTACTTAAGGCTCAGTACATATTTAGACGGCTTTAAGATACTAGTTTGAGTAGCTAATAGGTGTTTATGGAATCTTTGGGGGAAATGCTTTCTGGTTTTCAAACATCATGTGTATAGACCTGTTGAATTTTGGCAGTTGCCTTAACTGTAGTTTTTGTCCTTAAAAAAAAAAATCATCTGTATTAATGGTCTATTGATGAACTTTTTTGTGGTAACTGTTGTGATTAGTTTTGCAAAAGCATTGACATACCAGCAGAACAGTTAATTAGCAAATAGATGTTACTTGGTAACTAGCAGACTTTGATGGGGGTTTCCAATACACCAGCAAATAATCACTTTTATATTATTTCCTAGAAATGTCAAAGTAGAAGCAATTGTCTCTTTTATCCAAAACATTACCTAGTGAGTTGTTTGAAAATAGGACAACACAGATCCTTTTGGAAGTTTTAAAATATGCTTTCCAAGTCCTACCCATTGTACACTGGATTGAACAGCCGAGTACAGAGTTAAAGGGCATTAGGTTCTGTGTCTTTCCTTTCAAAACGATGTGAGATAGCTTAAGAACTTAATTAAGTAGCTGTTAAAAGTTAAAGAACTAGACATCCTTTGGAGGAACAATTTTGCATGTAAAGCAAACAGAACTTTTATTGTCTTTTTTAACTTCAGTCAATTATTGTACTAGTAATTAATGACAAGATAGTTGTATATGTGATGACTTAGTAAGTTTAAGAGGAGCATAAGTAAACAGTTGGAAGTTGTATTTATGTTAATAAAGGATGGATCATTTTTTGCTTATAACAAACTAAGTGTAAAGATAAACAGTTCTGTTCCTATTTCCTACCTTCAGAATATACCTTATATACCCCCCTTCAGTTTCATATTTTGCATTCTTTTATTAGTTTAGTGCTTTGGTTTCTTGTATGTTCTTAAAGTGTGCACTGTAATCTATAGCTTGATTTGCAAAATTTTGGCTGTGACTTGCCCTGAATGATTTTGTTTCCATTTGGAAATAGTAATGATAATGTCAACCTGCTAGTCCATGGAGATAATAAACTTTTAAGTCTCTGTGTTTAAGGAGCTCAAAGTTTACGTTGGGAGAGACAAGCAGGCACAATCACAGTGTGATAGGCTTAAGTACCGATAGAGGTAAGGACAGAGTCTTATGGAAACGCCTGCTTGTGCTGTTGATGATGGAAGAGACAAGGATGGCTTCCTGGAGGGTTTATCCTGTGATGGCCCTCAAAGGAAAAGGATTAGCCAGGAGATGAGCATTCTAAGCAAAAGAGATGACACGTACACAGACAGAGGAGAGAGAAGTAACTCACTGGGAGCACTTGCTGGCGGGATTTTATCACTGGAGGATTGGGTCCAAGTAAAGGAATGCCAGAAGATGCAGGTGAAGAGTTTGGAAGGGCTGACTGTGGCGTGTACTTAGGCATCATGGACCATCTACCAGTGGTTCAAGGACAAGAGAGAGAAAGTGATAGAAGAGAAGGCTAAGATCAATTAGTTATTTTCGTAAGTCCTCTAACTTAATTTTTTTTTCTTGAAAGACTCTGGATCACTTTAAAGAAATTTAAGCCCAAAAGATTTCTGATTACATTTATGTTTCAGAGAGATAACTGGCAGGATAGATTAGAGTCGGGTGAAACCTACTGAATCTAATTAGGAAGCTGTTGGAGTAATCTCAACAAGAATGAGGGGTTGAATAAAGGCAGTAATAGTGGAAAAGGATTGGAGATGTGAGTAACGTTAAGTGGGCAGAATCAACAGGATTTGGTGACTGGTGAGATACAGCGGTAAAAGAGAAGGTGACTCGCAGCTTTCTGATTTGAGCGGTTTCACAATTGGAGGTTATTAATTTAGAAAGAAAAATATAAAAGGGTAAGATTTGGGGGTGAGGGGAAATCAGATGTATTGATGATATGCCTGTGGGACACGCAGTATAAAAGAGAACCTAAAGGTGACGTATAACCACGTTTTCAAATAATTGTCCCTTACTTTCCCAGAGACCTAGTATGGAATTATAGAAAAACTGTGGGTCTGGGAACTAGAATTAGCTTCAGGCTCCAGTTCTGACATTTGTCAGCATGGGAACTTGACTGGTCTCTCTGTCTTTGGGCCTCTTTCCTTGTCTCTGTAAATAAGGATGTTGACATCTACTTTGGTGGGTTGTGACAAATAAGAGAAAATGGTAAAAGCACTTGGAAGACTGTACTTCCCACACATCTAAAGTATAATTAATCTGTTGCTAGTCCTAGATTTTATTGGGCTTGTTAAACTAATTTTTTTAAATAGCAAGAGCTCAAATGACATACAATGAAAAATGAATCTCTTTCCTACTTAAGTAGATCTCTCCAGAAGCAACTGCTGCGATCATTTTCTTATTTATCCCTCCAGGTGTATTCTTTGGATTTTCAAGTACCTATAAACAGAGCTTTTGAAAAAAACAGACAGGAGCATGTAGTACAGGGTCACACCATTTAATTTATCTTGAACTCTTTTAGTATATGAAACATTCATGAGTCTACTTAATTTTTTTCCACTGTGGCTGCCGTAATTTACTTAACCACTCATGTTGATACACATTTAGGTTTTTTCTTAGTCTTTTGCTATTACATACTGTACTGCAGATAAACATACCTGGACATAATCTTTGTGTACATATTCAAGTTACTTAATTTTCAACAGCAGAATTGCCAAGTCAGAGAATGTGTGCATTTTAAATCTTGGCAGATATTATCAAATTGCCCTTTAAAGAGGCTATGCCAGTTTTTATTTGTAGGTTTGATTTATAGTGAAAAATTACACACTATAAAGACAAAACTTAACCATTCTAGTTAGCAGTATCTCCCAACATTTGGGGAGTTGTCAAGGAGTTCTTATATCAACAATAATTCTAGGTGATTAGGTCTTCTCTCTCAAATTAGATTTTTCATCTCATGAAAATTATACCAAAAAATAAGCTATGGTTGTTTTATCAGGGAAAAAACAGCTCAGAGTTACTTGACTATGTTCCATGTAAGTTTGAGGGTCACATCTAGGACCTGATTATCACTGGGGCTCGACCTCTGAAATCTTAGACCTGTTCTCTGCAAGCATCATTCTGTCTCTTAAATTCTGTTACTGCATTTCTTACTCTGACTGTTGGACTCTACCTCATTTAGCCTTCCTGTCAGTTACCCTGGTCCTGACTTTACCTTATCTTGTCCTCATTGCACGTTACTTGAGTCACTTGTTCTTGAACGCCAGGTACATTCCCTTGGTTTTTGAACTCTCTTGCTCTAAAAAACCCTGCATCCTGGAATTATTAGAGTCATTTATTTCTGCTCCTTGCTGAGCACTGCTGGAAAAAATTCTTTTGGGACTGTGTTAGGCCTTTTGGTCTTATTTATATCTTTCCTTTCCTAATTGACATTCTAGACCTTCAGTGTAGCACTCAAGACCCCTGCCCACACCCTGTCCTGGCAGATGATATATCTGACTTCCTCCCCCACCTTAGCTATGGGGTAAACTTCCTTCTTTGTCATCTTTTATTGGAGGGAACGATATTTCCCTTTTCCTCAAGACCAGTCCTGAGTCCCACACCTTGATGTCTCTTCCACGTGTTTCATCCGTCATTCCTACTGCTCTGTCCTTCTCCATGGTTCCTTCTTCCTCAGCAAATAATGACTCGCTTCTTCTGGCTTAAAGAACCTCTTACTGGTATGTCCCCTTCTTAGCCACTTCTCTTTACTTCCAAACTTTCTGGAAAGAATTTGTTTTCATTGATTTGCCTCCTACTCACTCTCCCTTTACCCATGGTAGTCTGGCTTCTGATTCCACCACACCACTCACACTGTTCTTGCTGAAGTTACTACAGTCCCCTGATTTTACCCTACCTGACATTTCTCTTCAGTCTGGCACTGTTTACTACCCTCATTTCTCTGAAATTTCTTTAATTTTCTTTGGTGTTTTCTTCTGCTTATGGCTGTTCTGTTTGTTTTCTTTGCTTGCCCCATCTACCTGCTGTTTTAACTGGATGTTTCACTGGATTCTGTCCTTGATTTTGTTATCACATCACATACTGAGAGTTTCATCCACATCACAGGCTTCTGTTACCACCTAAAGTAGCTCCTTATCTATATATCCTCTGTTTGGCTTCAAATTTGTCTGTGAAACTGTCGACCAGAATTTTCCACTTTACTCTGAGTACCTCAGACTCACCAGACTCAAAACTGAGTGTATACTCTTCCCCAGCACCACCCCCCATCCGACCTACTTGCACTTCTCTATTCTGGTTGGTATTCTCAGCGATAGACCTGGGAGTCACTATCCTTACTCCTCACCCGCAGTGCTGTCTTACCCTTCTGTGCCTCTGCCTGGTATGGAATGAACTTCCTTGTTCCTGCCCTCTCATTCCATTCCAGGCAGGATTAATCACTCTTCTCTGTGCTGCTGCAGTTGCACCTGCCATCGCCCCTTCTCTGTGACAGGCCTCCTACAGAGCGCTGCACTCATGACTTCCCATCGCCCCTTCTCTGTGACAGGTCTTCCTACAGTGCTGCGCTCGTGACCTCCTATCACCCCTTCTCTGGGACAGGCCTTCTACAGTGCACTGCGCTCATGACTGCCCATCGCTCCCTCTCTATGACAGCCTTCTACAGTGCGCTGCACTTGTGTATGTTCATGTATTTCACCTTCCTGAAATATCCTGGCCTGTGACACGAAGTTCTTAAAAACAAGGGAGTTTCTTTTCACCACCTAGCATATGGTCTGGTACACAGTAAGTGCTCAAAAAATGCTTGTGGAATAGATAGTTAAGCATTTCCCTGAAATGGAGATTGGTCTTGATTTTTATCTCAGGGAAAATATACAGTTTCTTAAGAAATGCAAAAACATGGAACAGCACTCAGATCCAAATTTTATTTCTTCACCAGAGCACAGATGAAATTATAAGAATCATTAAAAGCTTACTATTTCCACCTGTAGAATAGTCTTTTGGATGTGGTAGAAACAGCTAAGTTATAAATTCTGATTCTTCTTTCAGAAAAGGTGCTATTAGAATTAACCAAAAAGAAAAAAGTTTTTGCTTTTTGTTTTTCTTGTCAGTATAATTCTTTTCTGTTCTACTAGGTGAAAAACCTTTTGAATGTCCAAATTGTCATGAGCGATTTGCTAGAAATAGCACCCTCAAATGTCACCTAACTGCGTGCCAAACTGGAGTGGGGGCAAAAAAGGGAAGAAAGAAGCTTTATGAATGTCAGGTATGTGTGGGTGTTCTGTGTCCTTAGCAAAGGAGTCTGTGTTTGAGATCATTAGAAGTGAGCAATAACAAGCCTGGAGCAAAGGCATAGAGCTGACAGTTTAGTAAGAAAAGAGAGTAAAGAACATCATTGTCTTGCTTTTATAAGGGGGATTAGAATTTTTTTTATTTACCTAACCCTAGATGACACCAGTGTCAATAAAATTATGTCCTAAATAACAGGTGGTCTGAAACTCTGGTTATTCTTAACCATGGAGCAATCATTAGGAGTGGGGAATTCAGGAGTAGGGCCAGAAGGCAGAGCAGCTGTAATTGGCTCTTCCATGATTAGTGTGTATTTATCCCAAATGGTGAAATGGTTCTAAATGTTGATATTATGGAAGAAATTATAATGTTACTTTAAATGTCAAAAATTCTAGGAATATAAACAAACAGTGAAGGCAATACTAAAATATTTTCCCCAAAGAATTTGTTAGCTACATCAGCTAAAAGACCAAATAAAAGGATTCTGAAATCCCTTAAATCGAACTTTATTGCAAATATCACATTCATAACATTTTCCAGAAAAATCAACTTTTTTCTTACAGAGAATAAATGCACCCATATTTCCTTCAGTTTGAATATAATTTATTATTAACACCCAATGTTTGGTTATTTCAGGTCTGTAACAGTGTGTTTAACAGCTGGGACCAGTTCAAAGATCACTTGGTAATACACACTGGAGATAAACCCAACCATTGTACTTTATGTGACTTGTGGTTCATGCAAGGAAATGAATTAAGAAGGCATCTCAGTGATACTCACAATATTTCAGAGCGTCTAGTAACCGAAGAAGTTCTTTCAGTAGAAACACGTGTGCAAACAGAACCTGTGACATCAATGACTATTATAGAGCAAGTTGGAAAAGTGCATGTGTTACCATTGCTTCAGGTTCAGGTGGATTCAGCACAAGTGACTGTGGAACAGGTCCATCCAGATCTGCTCCAGGACAGCCAAGTACACGAATCACATATGAGTGAGCTTCCAGAGCAGGTCCAAGTCAGTTATCTGGAAGTGGGTCGAATTCAGACTGAAGAAGGTACTGAAGTTCATGTTGAGGAGCTGCATGTTGAACGGGTAAACCAGATGCCAATGGAAGTACAGACTGAGCTTCTAGAAGCAGACTTGGATCAAGTGACCCCTGACATCATGAGCCAGGAGGAGAGAGAACCTGCCCAAGCAGATGTTGCTATGGCTCCCAGAGAAGATCACGAAGATGCGGAGGGTTTAGAGACCAAATCAGTGGATCCCCAAGCTGAAAAGGCAGGAAGTGAAAACAGAACACCTATGCCGGTTCTAGAATGAAATAACAAGTGAATATATTTTTAAATTTACGTGTTGGGTTTTTGAACTCATGGGCAGTGTGACTGTCCTTAAGCTAACAGACAAGTGGACCAAAGTTAAAACTTTCCTGTTGTGCTGAACTGTTTCTTTTGAAACAAACTGATTTCCCCCCCACTTAATGCCACAGAGGAGGGATCTTTCCCATAAGTGAATGGGAAGCTTTGAGAAGTATATTTCTGGAGACTTAAATGGAGTCTATTCTTATTACATAGTTGGGTACGAGGGTATCTATTTTCATTGTGGTAAGGGTTCTCCCTTCTCTCTTTTCCAGGTCATGTCCTTCCTCGAGTTTTCTCTTTTTTTTTTTTTTCCATATTGTAAAATCAAATGTAAAATCATTAGAATACAAGTTTATGTATTCTAATGCATGTTAGAAAATTTGAATATGTAGGAAACACAGGCTGCATGAAGAAAAGTACATTGTTACTGTGCAGTTAAATTTTGGCTTCTAGCTTTCTTTAGTTTGAACAACATTCTTGTCTACCCTGATAGTTACAGATGTCATCTCTGCAACA